ACCTGCTGGCCATTCCTGAAACAACACTGTCTCCTCTGGCAGGAGAAGGAAATGGAAAGTTCTTTGGGGGACCTTGGGAGCAGCATCTTTCCAGGCTGAAGAAGGGTGTGGTGGGGGTGGGGCCTCCCCCCTTCCCCAGAAGCCAGTGTCTGTGCTCCTTGAGGGTAAGGTGAGAGGAAGCACTTCCCCCTACCACCAGCTCCTTAGGTGCTTAATAAACATTTGAGATTGAAATTTGAGAAAATAGGTAATAACAAACCCCATATTTCTTCTTTACAAGTTAGAACATGGCTGGTTCCTGCGAACCCTTGAGTCCCCTGCTGTCCCCTGCCTGGCTCTCAGGCCTCCCCAGTCCCCAGCCCTTCCCAGAGGTGGGCCTCCCCTCCCCACCCCGGCAGAGCTGACAGGTAAAGCTCTTCCAGGCAGTGAGGCAGGGCAGGAACTTCCCCCTCAAGGCCCGGCAAGTGGACACCAAACATCGTCCTCACATCAGTGGAGCCTCATGTTCCTCAAATAGAAAACCTGGACAAAAATCTGGACGCCAAGCTGACCCTTGAACAACGCAGTCAAAAGCTCCTGAATGGTCGGGTCCCTCATAGAAAATGGCATAGGCCAGTGCAGGCTTCCCAGCAGATGGAATATTCTGTCTTTGACCATGGTTGGTTGAATTCATAGATGTGAAACCCACGGATATGGAAGGCTGTGTATTTATTGGAAAAAAATCCATGTATAAGTGGTGCCGTCCAGTTCAAACCCACGTCGTTCAAGGGCCCACTGTACCTTCCTCAGAGAGCTGCTGAAACCCTCACGAGATTGGATGTGTAGAGGACTTGGAGCCCAGTGACGCCTGCTACAAGGACCAGACAATGCCTAAGAGAATACACGTCCCTCCTCATACTCCCAAGTCCCCAGCCAGCCAGCCACTCCCACAGCTCCCAGAGCACCCCAGCCAAGCTTTCACCCCCACACTTCCCCCACGCCCTCTCCCTGATCCCGGCTGCTCAGAAAGGCAAGAGGGGTTGGTAAGAACAGACGCTTTATTGCACACCATGGGGGGAGTAGAGAGGAAGAAGGGGCTCCAGGGTGACAGTGCCTCCTCCCCTCCTCTGGGCTGAGTGGTCTTGACCTCCCCAGGGCTCTGGCCGGTCATGAGCACATGGATTTGAATTGCTCTGAACTTGCGCCAGAGCTCACTGTGTGCACCCAGTTCCATACAGAGCAGTGCTTGGGATGAGGGGGACCCTGGGCCCTCCTCCCCAGCCCCAGTCCTTAGGCCCCAGGGAAGGGGGAACAGACCCCCAGTTTCAGGGCCTAGTGGACGCTCAGGGAGTCAGGTGCCTTCCAGTCTACTGAGTCTTTTCTTCCACTGGGGGGAGTCTTCTGAGGGGCAGTGGCAGGGGGGCAGCTGTGAGGACACGCAGAAGGGCAGCCCCTGCCCAGAATGCTGCAGGCCTGGCTGGCCTGGGACCACGTGGCTTCTGGCACCCAGCCTCACGGCCTGTGGCAGGCTGGCTCAGGAGGGCATCTCCTGGCACTAGGAAAGCAACAGTCTCTGCAGATTTATTGCTGGAGGGCAAAGCTAACCTCACTGGCATCAACTTGTGTGCCCCACTGTCTGGCCCCATCAGGCCTCAGGCTTCAAGTCGCCTCAGTGGAGATGGCTCCCTGAGCAGGAAGCTGGTGATCGGGCTGGAGGGCAGGGACCAGGGGACTCTCAGGCACACCCCTGCCCTGGAGTCCGCTGTCTCCTATGGCGCTGGACGTAGGCCACCTCCTGCTCCCCCAGGAAAGCTGGGGCTGGATCTTACCTGTCTGAGGCCCCACCTGCCCTGGCCTCGCCCCACTTCCAGCTCCCAAGGAGTAAGCGAAGGCGAGTGTGTCAGAAGCACATGCGAGGACAGTGGTTCCCTCTGAGCACTGTCAGAACTGTCTCAAATCTCAAAGACAAGTGCAGGCCACGGCCCTGGGAGGGATCCTATAGGGGGGCCTCAACATCTTAAGAAGCCCCGGACTTTCCTCAGGATGGAGAGCTTGTGACTCCAGAGGAGACAGCAAGAAGGTGCCTGGAAAATAAATTTGGGGGCTTCCCGTAGGCCCTGCCCTGAGACCTGGCAGAGAGGAGGGGGAGGCAGGGAGGATCGAGGTCTTCAGGAACAAGGTGAGCACTGGGGTTCACAAATCAGCACCCTACACACACCCACGTATGTGCACACACCACATACATACACGCACACACGAACACCAAGCTCTGGGCCCTACGACTAATAGCAGAGACAGAGCCGGGACAGGCCCGGCCTATGGCAAAAGGCTCAGAGCACACCCCAGCCTGCGGGGACCAAGAGGACACCCTGCTCAGGCCCTGTTGCAGGCTGTCAGGCTGGGGCCTGGCCTGACCACAAGCTACAAAATTAAAAATATATCAAATATACAATGAAAATAGATCTGTGCAGCACTGAGGATGAAAATAGTCCAGCAGCCACAGTGTAATATTGGGCTTATCATTTAACAGCATTTACACTCACATGTACAGATTGAATATACAATAGAAGTAGAATACACAGAAGAGTATATAGTAGAGTCTCTCCTGGGGCCTTGCCCTCCTCTTGCTAAATCAGTGGGACTAGGCATGGGGCCCAGCAGGAGGTGTTGTCAGGTGAGGGGGCCTGTGCTCCAGAGGCTCGTGTCTCTGGGGAGACGTGGGCCTCCCTCTCCCCTCACACTCAAAAGGGCTGATAGGGCCGAGAGGGCCAGGAATGGGAGGCGTGAGGAGGGGCAAGTGAGAGAGATTGTGGGGTGGGGGATGGATCCCCAGGTAAGGGGGGCAAGGGACTAAGGGGTGAAGGAGGGAACCCTGGGCCTAGTCTACCCCTACCCCAGTGCTGAGTGCAGTCAGAGTCACAAGTGACTCAGGACCCTCTGTCAGGGTACGAGGCCTAGCCCTGTGCCCTCCCCGCCCACTACAGCTCTCAGAAAGGTTTGCTGTCCCAGCCAGTCCCCCTCCCTCCCTTCCTTCCTTCCGTTTTCCTTCCATCCATCCATCCATCCATCCATCCATCCATCCATCCATCCATCCATCATCCATTTACCCACCATCCATCCACCCACCCACCCTCCATCCATCCATCCATCCA